TTACTAATATTATAAATGCGACTGTTTGGATGGATAGATGTTTGGTTGATGGTATCTCCAAAATGGCTGAACGGATCTTGTTATAATTTGGCTTAGTAGAATATAGTCTGGAACAACATATAGACTATTAATTAAGTTTTATTTTAAGTTTACGCAGATGGAGTCGCGAGTAATATAATATTAGTAAGATCATGACTGGAAAGTTCTTAAAACATTATGCTGCAGGTTTTACGACAGTTGAAAAATGTTACGTAGGAAGTGTGTTGTAGTCGAATGTGGAAATAGGAACGGTACATATTGTTCGATCAATGTCACTAATATGTCAAAGGCTTGCTGATGGATCAGTGCATGTTCAATCTGCTTCAATCACGGGTTACACAATACATGGTAAAAGTAAAAAACAATAGTTTATGTATATTAAAGAGAAAACGATCAAAATTGAAGAAATAAATCTTAAAGTTTAACGTCAATAATGTTCATTCTCAGTCTTCTACCGCCTTCTTCTGGTGCTCTCACGCAACTTTGAAAATATTGACGATATTAATTTTCAACGCTATTTATTCACTTGTTTTATGAATTAGAGAAACTAATAAGAAAGTGTTGTAAATAATAGGTAATATTAAAATACTATTGTAATTGTTTTTAATTCAAAAATGTCACTAACGTGGAATCCCTTTACAATATCACGAGCTTTTGCCCGCGACTCCGTCCGAACGAAGTTAAAAAAAGCGTAATTAGTTGCTTATGTGTTCTTCCGGACGTCTTTTTATATCTATGCCAAATTACAACGATATTATTTCAGCTGTTCTAGAGATACATAATAACAAACTCAATCAATACATCTAAACTTTTACATTTATAATATTAGTTCAAATATTTTTTAATTTAACAAAAAGCTGATGCTGCAATTTAATCTTCTATGTAAGCAGTTCTTTGAGTATGGCTGGACAATTTTCTTTAATCACAATCTAAAACACGTAGAGCAATAAAGCCAGCGGTACTAATGTGGCAAAACCACATCGAAGCAAAGTCAAAGCACGTAGCAGCTACATACGAGACGTCTCAGATCAGAGCAGACGCAATAACTTTTATGTTGCTGCACTATTAATTGTTTTTGCACTCTTTAATTCTATGTTTTAGATTAAAAAGTAAAAAAAAAGGTTTAAATTTAAGATATTTCATTCTCTTACTAGCTGTCGCCCGCGACTCTGTCCGCAGCATAAAACAAATCAATTAGTACACTATGTATTCTTCCAGACTATGTTCTACATATATGCCAAATTTCAGCGAGATCCATGAAGCCGTTCTGGAGATACATTACAACAAACATCTATACATTCATCCAAACATTCGCATTTATAATATTAGTAAGGATATTTATAGTAAAATGGTAATAATTTTGTAAGTTTCACATTAGTTTCAGGGAACGGAAGTCGCTGTGTGAAGTTGAGTGTAAACAACGTAGTTATTTTCTCGGACGTATAAATCCCGCAGGTGGGGATTTATGGGATGGTTTCCGGTGCTAAAGTAAATAATTTATGTCTTTTGTCCCTTAATCCTATTAGCGACTGAATGGTGTCCTTCGGCAGCCTTTACTCTGTCAATGATCGATAACATAGGTTCGGTGTTTATATAGATTTATAGTTTGCTTGTTTTCACAAATTTATGATATTGTTTTTTTTTTGTTTTATTAGGAATACAATTTTACATTTAATTTTTTTTATATTATAAGGTGGCAAACGAGCGAGCGGCTACATGAAATCGCTGAAATATCGAAGTGACCGTTGTCCTATCCATAGACATACGCAATTGCATATGCGTTGCCTACCTTTAATCGAAGGAGGAGAGGATACACGGAAAGAAAATTCTTTCCCTTTCCATGCATCCTCTCATCCGGAAAGTCAACTTCCACTTGCCATCCTTTCCTTATAAGAAAAATGGTGGGAAGGGAAAGAGGACTAAATTAGACCTCCGGAACGCACACTCATCAGACGAAACGCGGTATTGCTTCTACTTGACGCCTGTCTTCTGTGTGGTTGTGGTATTTCACCGGGCGAGCCGGGCCAATTCGTGCGAAGATGTTAAAGCGGTCTCTACCACTGTTAATATTATGCTAATGTATCTTTTACAATCATAAAATTACGCAATTTATTCTAACTCAATACGTTTCATTTTTTACCAAAAAGATCCTATTGGGTATTTTCATCACAAACAAAAACAGAAGTAATTTTATTAAATAAAACTTCGCCACTTAATTTTAACCTGAATTTTAAAATATACGTTTTAGTATATAATTTATGCATTTTGTAATCAACGTGTCTAATTCCATGTTACTGTAATATGTTAAATATGTCTACGCGCTTTGATATTTTATTTATTTTTATTTTATTTATTAACGGGACAACTTACAGCTAACTAACACTATAATAATTTTGTAAATGGAGACTTAAGGCTAATTACAAGTTGTCACACATGGTAACTGCACGGGTAATTGTACATTTCACTTTTTGATTAATTAATTAATTGGAATCCAGAACTAAGGAATACTATACGTAATATATATCTAAATAACAAGGTCTAGTTTGGAACGTATGTTTCAAATGCTACTATTAAAATGTTCAAGGCATAAGATGGTAGCGTTTATTCATATCTGCTATTTTAAAATGTGTTTTTTTTAAATAATCACAAGATAGTTGTTACAGTTTCTTAATAGATTTATTTTTAATTGAATAAGAGTATCATTAAATCAGTAGCCTAAGGAGATGAAAAGCTATTATTAAAATTTATTATGTCAGTCTCGATTAAAACGATTTTCCATCTCAACCAAATTATATTACATCCACATTTCGTAAAGAGGTGCAAAAGATTTATACTGAAGTCACAAATTAACCGACAGTGTAAAATAAAATATATAACAACACAGTCTTACCATGTGCGATAGTACTCGTAGTTTATAAGTTTGTTTTTTGTGTTTTCCTTACGTGGCAAAAAATGTTTTTTGTATTTTATTCTACTCTATGGTTCATTTAATCTACTCTTTATTTGCTATATGAAGCCAAAGTTCGATTCTATAAAACCTTCTGTTCCTTGTATATACTGTAAAATGTAAAATATATTTTTTTATTATAATTAATTTTGCCCAATTGCCTCTTAAATACTAAACTGATATAATATGACCGTTAAACAAATTACTCCGAGCTTAGAAAAAAAAAAAAATAGCACTTAATGAAATCGCTTTCGCTTATGCATTAGAACAAGCAGTAATGTAAGACGCTCGGTCGTACCTCGGAAACCGTAGTGTCGAATTTCTGGTACTTTGTTGCGTCCTCCTGGGACGTGTTTCTGTGGTTTATAACATTACGGAATATTGTTCAATGGAGTTTCCTGTTTTTAAATTAATTATTACATGAAAATGTGTTACTTTAATATAAGTGTTCATAGTTCTCTATTTTATGTACCTATTCCTTGAAGATTATAATTTTCATGCAATAATGATTTCTGTATTACCTTTTCTGGTATGACTGTTAATATTTTGAAAAAGATATCACGGAGTTGTAAATCGTGTTATAAATTTATAAAAACACCTATAAACAAAGTTCGTGTATAAAAGCAAAGCTGATGGTTAAAAGAGAGTGTAGTGAGAAAGGTCCCAGGCCGTATCTAAATAAAGGTTCTCGATCGACGAAAGCTTTTAAGAGATGAGACACTGTCGGTGTTTTAAATCGAATAAGGCTATTGTTTGATTTAGTTAATCGATTCTGTAAGATACAAAGAATAGAGAAATATATTTCTGGATTAAGCACGTTTTGCTTAAGAAATAAGTACAACACAACATTTTGGTAACTTCATTCCTTTGATAGCTTCCACGTATAATACCAAAATTATGAGTTATTAAAAAGTGATATCTATTAGAGATTCTATTTATGATACTATAATATAGATTAATTGAAATTGAGGTCAACTGTTCAATTGAACAACAACATAAATCAAGCCCGCAACTCAGAGGGGTAGGCAGAGATCACGGACCTCCGTACCTCTCTCGGTTCTTTGAATTGAAGCAAAGTAACATTTACACCATTTTAAAGTTTGTTTCTCTTAATAATTATTTTTTATTTGTGCTTAAATTCACTTAGTACTATTAGTAAAAGTATTCTTAGTCGCCATTCCGACATATATGTTTGTCTCATAAATCATATAATTCTTGGAAATCATGATCCATGTTCGCCGTAGCTTAAAGTTGACAGCTAACATGACAAAGCTTTTGAAGTAGTGGCCATGTCGTGTCGCCTCTCTCTAAGAAAAATTAAACGCAAAAAATTCTTAGAAGCTGTGAGTAAGATATGACTGGATGGGTTCGTAGTGGGGTAGAAACAGTATATTTTTAATAGGTCGCATAAAGCTATATTTTGTACATATATTTATAATCTATACATATTTTTAGAATATAACTCCTTCTTGGCCATTGTATATATACATATGGCTATGTATTTGACATGAAGGGATAAACAGGTTACCACGCTAAAGGCTACTAACACCTTATTTTCTAATCAACAATTCTTGCTGGTAGTGACCTTCAATTTGAAATATGAGAAAAACAAAATATCCTTAAACATAACAAGAACAAGTTTAGGAAACTTAGTAAATTACTTTTGTTTCGTTTCATGTGACATGTTTCAAATGCGGATTAAATTACTCTATTAAAAGCGCTCTTTGTTGTAAATGTTTCGCCTCAAAACTTAGTCGACAAACGTCATAAATTCTATTTGACGGTATCACAAAAGATTTCAACAATATACAAGTTATAAGCCGCCGTGACAAAGTCTAACTTTCTTAGAACATAATAGTTCCAGTTTAAGCAAACATTTTATTGTCTTCTCTTTGACGATTTGTTATTTATTCAAATCTATGGCTTTGATACATTAAACATAATAATTACACGACAAAATTTATTATCTTTCATTTATTTTAATCTCTAATTACTAATTGTGTTTATGAAACACTTAATATTCAGGTCCAAAAGCTTTATCGATGTGAGTGTAAATGCCTCTAACAATTTTTCTGAATCCTCGTCTCAAACAAATCACACATTTTTTTATATTATTCTGACGTGACAGTTGTTTTGTTGAATCTTTTATCACAGTATTACGTTTTCGGCGATAAATACGAAGCTCGATGATTAATGTTATTGCTGCGAAGCAAAACAAAATCCAATTGTTAAAATTAAATTAGTAAATATACGTTAACAAACTATACAGTACCAACCAGCTAACAGATAACCAATTCCTAAAAGACAAAAAGCTCCGCGAAGCATTGTTAGCGACACCGGTTCCAAACCAATTGTAGATTCCGATTGCATCTGTGAAAGTTAAATAAGATTAAATATCACTCATCGATATCTTCCTGTCTTTTCCCTATTTAATGTATTTCTCTTCCTTAACATTTTTCAGTCACTCTTTTCTAATGTTCATTAACTTTCGCGCAAACCATTAGCCTTTAGTATATTCATATGTTTCATCGCTCTGTTCATATTTTCTTCGGCCTTTCACTACTTCTATCATAGATTTTACGTATATAAAATCTGTGCTATAATTGCTGGACTAGTATAACTCTTCGTTCTCATATCGATTGTCGGATGGGATGTTGGTTATCAAGGTATCAATTATCTAGTTAACTGCTTACTTGTGAGTTAGCAACGGAGTCACCGGTTACATCTGCATTTTCTTTGTCGCTTTCAGTTACCGGCTCAGATCTCCTTGATTGTTCGGGCAGATTCTTGTATTCGTCTTTCGTAACTTTCGCCAGAATTCCTGCTTCGAATAGATTCATGATCCTATGGGATATTTGAATAATAGATTTTATTGGGTTCTTTTCAATTTTAATGACTTGTCCATTTAAATTTTTTCAGGCTAAATTGTACGAAATCATATCATCAATTTATAGTTTTTAAAGCCTGTGATTTAACATAAATATAGGTGGAATAAATTAAGAAATATTTGCAACGATATAACTTACACATCATTAAAAGTTTCGAGGTAAGGACATCCGATTTGTAGTGCGATAGCTGAATATCTAGTGTACAACTTTTCGCTCAAATGAAAATTATGAGATCCTACAAAAAAAAATCCTAAATAAAAAGAGAGAAATGTTTCATAAAAAATATTCAGAAATTCAGTCACAATGCTGACTATTGTGAATTTATTCCTGTTTATTTATGTAAAATTGGTACAACAGATTTCGGTTGTTCAAATCAATCTATCTATCTCTGATTAGAAAGTCTTTCGCCGATTATATCATATTTCATGGAAAAAAATGCATCAATATCTTTTACGTCGTTTCATTCCTAATCATTGCATAGTTATATGTATTTCTCGATCAAGTGATTACCAAAACGTTCTGTGTCGTAATACAAAGTTTCTCTCCCTCCGAGTACGGCGATTCTCTTGTGAGCGAGCACCAGCCTCACACCAACTTCCACGCTGCGGACACGTTGTAGTTTTTGTCGTCGCATTAGTTTCGCAAGTCGTCCGTACACCCCAGTACCGTTCTAAAACAGACAAAAATAAGCCGCATGAAACAAACAATTCAAGACAATGACAATTGGATGAGGAAGTCATCGTTTGATCAAAATTCGATAATTCGAGAAAATGTCACCTGTCAATGCTTGACTAATAGTGAATTGTCTGAAGATAGTTTCTGTCTTAAAGTGAAATTTTTCCTATACTTCAATATTAATGCAATTTTGAATGAGTAACTAAATTTCTTTGTCGTCTTTTTTCTGTCACCAAAATATATTTATTGTTCATCTGACTTTTACCTCTAAAATAGTGAGAGAGGAACTATGCCTTTCCACCACTAATTCATACTTTCGATCTCTCATTGCTTCTTCTAAAGCTTCGAGTGTGCCAATAGGTTGTTCTCTTGCTGGTCGGGCGAGTAGACTGGTAAGATTTGCCGAGTACATGTCTCCGATCACGTAAGTTGCACCGAGTGAAATCAAAACTGATACTAAGCGAGCTTTATGAGTACTGGAAGGTTCTTTACTTGAAGCTATGAAAGGGACAAAGAATAAAATTATTAAATTAGAACTTTACAAGCTCACAGACTCCGATGGTTGGGACATCTCCTGAGGATCGAAAGGCCAAAGCAGCATATCTCGGGACCACGACTGGCCGTCGACCCATCGGTCGGCCTAGGTACCGCTGGCGAGGCGCCGTAGAGCTGGATCTGCGGGAGCTACAAGCGATGGACTGGCAGGAGAAGGCGCAAGACAGGCGACTTCGGCGATCTCTTGTGTCGGAGGCCAAGACCCACTTTGGGTCGATGCGCCAGCGGAGTAAGTAAGAACTTTACACAAAATGCATAAGGTTTAATTGTCCTTTTGAAATCTTTTTTTTTCATTACATTTGTTTAACTGATATTTGGTTTTAATTTTAATTCATGATTAAATTACTTACATTGTCGTAAAAACAGTGTGGTAGTGAACCAGCAACAGTCGTTGAACAGGCCAAGTTGGTTCTGACGACGATGTAGCCAGAACGACGGCGCTGCAATAACAATCCACAGCGCCGGACCGGTGATCAGTAATGTTGCGAAGACTAAAGGCCACACCTTGGGGTTATAGTATAATCAATTATTTCGTAATTACTCGATTCGATACATACATACATCTATGAGACATTTCAAACTTCAATCCAGTCTTCTAACTTTAATATATTTCTTTAAGAAAGAAAACTAAGAAATCAGTAATAAAGTTCTTTTTTCAGAACTGGCATGTTTTAGAGGACCTATTTTACAATTAGGTCCAGTTAAAACAATACTTACTTCCCATCTGAAGGGCCTTATTATTGCAAGAGTCTCACTCAGCTTGGCAGGGGCGTGTGTTAAGAAAGCGCCAGAGTCTGCTAAGGTAACGAATGAGAATTCTACAGCTTGCAGCCGCTCCCATGTTATTGTTACATCGCCAATGAAAAAATCTGCTTTCTAGATGGTATAAGAAATTTTACTTAGTACAAAATAAATCCATATATCCAACAAGCATGTCGATTTCGTTATTGATCACCAAAATGCCACTGAATTTCAATTACGCTTCCTTTTATTTGTTAAATTAAAAACACTTACTCGTTTCCAAATTAATCCAAGAGTTCCTTTAAATGTACCGTTAACCGAAATACTTGAGCCTTGGCTTCTTTCAGGTGGATCATAATATTTATATCTGTTTTATGAAAAAAGCCATTTAGTAGTTTAAATAGTTAATTTTGATTAATTATTATTTTAATTATAATTACCTAAAATTTAACCTCTTCGATATTAAGGCCAACAATTTGTCATCTCGTCCTCCAGTTACTTCGACTGTTGAATTGTTGTTGTATTTCACAAAGTGCCACGGAGGAGCCTGAAATGAAAAGGCGCGGTTACTATTATCAATTTTGGTAACTAGTGTTGGTGGACTTTGAGGTTGATTTAGGAATTAGTAATGACTAAAAAGAAGAAAATCGGACATTTTTAGACAACGAAATTATAGCAACCAATTACACAGAGTGATGGTATCAGAGCAGGAAGATCAATCTTAAAAGAAATATCAAAAAACATACATGTAACACGGGTACATAGAAGACGCGGCCTTGAAAGTTCTTGTAGACTACATTAGCCGGCGGGAGTACAGGCAACCTATAGATTTTGCCTGCCCACCAATTGACTAAACCGAGATGGTTTAATCGATTTGGAGTTGCCTGGTTATAGTATATTCTGAACCTGGAAAAAATAGACTTTTTTATTATTGTCCTAATCCTTTTTTCATTTCCTATCAACAAATAACGTTTTATAAATGAGACTTACACGCTTTCTCTAGGATTTGTAATAACGGCCACTCTCATTGCTTCTTTTATTACGCCTCGGAATCTCAAACTGATCTCACCGACAGGCCAAAAGAATATATAGAGAATCGATCTATGGATGAAGTTGTTTGTCGTAAACTGTGAAATAAAGAGTAAGTTAAGTTATTTAATGTCTTGTGAGTCGCCAATAATATGAAGTTCAGTTACCTCTATAAGTAGATTTTCACATTCAGTCGGTTGACAAAATATGAGGCTAGTTCTTTCAGTCCACGTGTCTAAATCTTTCTTCAGTAACTTGAAAAACTGAAAGTAGTAGGTTAGTAATTTTTTTTCTTTTACTGCGTACACCATTTGTACATTGTCATTGCAATGTTCTAGATTACGTATTTACGATATATTAAGAACTAGCTGTCGCCCGCGACTTGATCCTTGCGGAATTAAAAAAGAACTAGATTAGTAGTCTATGTGTTCTTTCAGACTATGTTCTACGCCCATGATGCATAGAGACGCTCTTGAGATACCTTCTAACATCCATCCATCCATCCAAACATTCGCATTTTTTTTATAACAGAAGGGGGCAAACGAGCAGCGGGAACACCGAGGTGTTCAACGACGCCCATGGACATCAGCAATACCAGAGAAACCGCAGATGCGTTGCGGTGCCTTTGAGGTGGTGATAGGCTCGTTTCTTGTAGGACCCTAAGCATTTATAATATTAGTAAGTAGATTTACTTACAGACGCTTTATTGTCATCTGTCGTAAGATCAATATTAACTACTTGTATGTTATTGTCGTTTAAACGACAAATTAGTTGGAACATATCACAAGATCTGTGGATTACATAAGACATTTTATTAAATTACGTAGATTGATATAAAAACGGCTAAACACTCACGTATATTCGTCCGGTGGCGGCACCGACTCACGGTGAGCGATGGGCCGCGTCCCCTCAATAATACCACTACCACTCATCTTGATGAAGGGCCCCCGATGGGCTCAAAACTAGTCGGTGCCGCCACCGGACGAATATACGTGAGTGTTTAGCCGTTTTTATATCAGTGTAGTATAATGTCTCACGAAAGTTTGATTAACTTAATTACATAGATGTTGGTTAAACTTAATAAAAGTTATTTGGTATTTCACCAGACATAGACATAGACCAGATATAGTAACTCAACACCAGAGTGTTGAGTTACTATATTTTCACTGGCACGACAGCTATTGAAATAAATAGAGTCGTAGAAGCACAGACAATTAAGTGGAAATAAGTTACAAATAAGTACAGAGGCTGCCTACTGTGGAAGACGTTTGAATATTGATGTTTAGTTACACATTGATATATTCTTGCATTATTTATCTTATTTATTCCTTAGTTATTTACTGTTATTATAAAATATGTTATCGTATAAACTATTATATTATGTAAAGTAAGTATAGTGTCAAGTGGTTGTATACTGTAATGATGGTATGCAGTTGTTTTTAAATAAATAAAAAAAAATAGAAAAAGTTTATGATGACAATAATATTATTTATAACATTCTGTAGTGTTATTGCTTTTGGTTAAGTAAATGCTTTAATTTTTGTTACGGGTAAAGATTACCTGATGTTAGTTGAATTTCCTCTTACTATAGTCAAATAGCTAGCTGGAATTCCCGCTGCAATGTTTGCTACGGCATGTGAAAAGTCTTTAGGAAGTTTTGTTAACGTCTCCGGTGCTATAACATCGATCATTTTTAAAAAACAACAACAAAAAGACGGACAAGCGAATAATATTAAAAGAATATTCTTCATTTCTTTTTGCATTAAAATGAACTTATTTTCAATACTAATAGTTTTCGTCTAAGTGTTGGCTGAACTGGTAGAGTAAAAGTAACCAATAATAATTCCGATATTTCTCTACCATTGAATTTCATAGATTAAGTTGCAAACAGAGGAGTCTTAAATGACTATTTCTTTTTGTAAAAACATATCTTATAATGTCTATAGTTCAACGCACCCATTTATTTTTTAAAATACGTTGTTGTCTTATTTCAATAGCTGAAATGCGTATGCTAAGAGGAAGTTTAAAAGTAGCGCCAGTGATCGAGAAATTGAGGAGTAAAAGATTAGCGTGGTTTGGACATGTCATGAGGAGGGATGATGATGATATAAGCAAAAAAGTAATGAGATTGAATGTGGATGGCTACAAGGGTAGAGGAAGACCAAAAAAAGTATGGAATGATGGAAGGGGGTAGACTCGGATATGACGGCTGATAGAGATGTATGGAGGAGTAGTACATACTGTGCCGACCCTCGATAGGGATAAGGGCAGGTTGATGATGATGATGTTGTTGTCTTATTTTCTTTGTTCTTAGTAACATCTAATTGTAGTTTTTTTAGCTTTTATTGTTGAGTTCCTTCATCTCTCTCGGGTTGTAATTTAGTTCATGTACTAGATATTATGAGCAATTTTCAATCGTTACTTTGGTGGCTTAATCTATGACCTATTACGATGTCTATCAAAATAAATCGGACAGGTGTTTTAATATTGTAAGAGAATATGATCTGGCATTTATCATTGAAAAGGTTAGTATTTGATGGACATAATTCATATTTTGTTATTATTTAATTTATAATTAAAATATTTTAATACGTACTATTATTTTCTGTAATGTAGTATTTTCATAGAGTGGGATTCTTTAGTGTTTTTAATACGGAGAGGTTAACATGGTTACTGAGGTCAACCGCAGGAATCACGCAGTAAGAATAGGTACTGTAAGTTTATTTATGTTATCGACAGACTATAAAATTTGTCGTTTTACAAGTCAACCAGACGTCATATAAAATGTAAGCTAATTAGCAGTAGGTTTAATAGGTAAGTCTAAAAAAAGAGTTAATTAAAAATACATTAACCTATTTAGTATATATAGGGCCAATAGTCGATTTTCGATCACGTGGCCTAGAGTTCGAATCCCGCCATTCGACTATTGTAAGCCTTATCCTATCACAAGGCTAGAGGTATCTTGAAATGGTGTAAGAAATATTAGTAAATTAACAAAATATCTGATAATATTTTAATATAAAAAAATCAACTTTGATAAGTACTAAATCCAGAGTAAAACGATGTGAAAACACAAAGGAACATACGCTCTTATATAAACAAATTACTCGGATTAACAGGGTAATAATTGTGTCTAATGAATTTAACCGAATTCGATGAGCGCTTTAATTACGTCCCTAACGAGACAGCCATTATTATGACGTCCATTATCCGACAAAATTAACAGATCATTAGCGAAATTATTCTGTCATCAAGAGCCGAAAGACGCATGCTATTCCCGTTTTAAGTGGTCTGTTATACTGAATGGCTTTCATTATATCTAATAATACTTTTATTAGTGCTTTATAACGCTAATTGTCATGTTTTCATGATAACCAAAGACACAAGAATATGTAGACGGGACATCGTGACCGTCATCTCAGTTGTCATGTCATACAAGACAACTGATATGACGCATAAATAATAAAACATTGAAATAAAATAAATATTTTTGTATTATACTAAAACAAACCACATAAGTATAGGAGACGTATTTATTTATTTACGATATTTTTATTATAATATAAAAAAATACAAAACATATTATATTAAAAAAATAACACCACCGACTGCGGAATTCCATGACTCAAACAACCAGTTGTCAGGGCTGAGACAGGAACCTTCTCACGATGCGTGCGGTTTCTATGATAACTGCCTTTGGTATTGGGCCCTTGTATTACAAGTATAGGAATTATTATATTTTGTTTCATTTTATGTAAGAAATTTCATTTTACATTCCACAATATCTTGTTACTATTATATTATTTTAAAGCATCTATCGGTTACATCTATCGGCCTTGTGTGATACGTGCTTTTTGACTATTCATTAGCAGATGCGATAGTTTATATTGCGACTGTCATAGGAAAAGTACGCCTTATGTCCTCTTTATAAGTTCATATTACATTTAAATCTCTTTGATTACAACTGATTGCGATTAATAATATAAATAAGTACTCAGACTAGTTACAGACGTATTAGGAATTATAAGTTTAAGTCGAAAACTTGTTTATTTACAGTAAAATGACAGATACATACGATACTCCTGGGAAAAACGGAAACCAATTATACTATTAACTGTAATTTCTTACCGGAATTAAAATTAATTAGATTGATAAAGTATTAATTGCTCAATAAAAAATACAAGTTATTTTACCAAAAAAAAAAATTATTCCATCTAGTAAATGTTCACTAAAGTTTCATTGTATGCAGCTTTAAAATTTCTAGAAAATTAACACGCAACGGGCCCGCTGTAACGGACTTTGTTAATCTTTTTTATATCTGCCAACTACAGTACGTACTTTCCGTGCAAACAAGCGCTTTACGGAAATCTGATTTTACTTTGAATTAAGTTAACTAAAATTTTAACTTTAACTGCATTTGAAAAGTACGATCTTATTTATTTAAAGGGGTAATTTAATAGCATACTATGTTAAGTTATTCATTTACATATTGGTTATAAAGAGGGATACAGAATGGATAAATTATCTGGTTTTGATTGTAAATAGTTTTTTCTAAGTAATGGTAATAATCACAACAAACTAGCTGTACTCCGTGACTCCGTACGCTCCGTACGCCGTAATAATTAAAATAAAACTTAATTATTAGCCTATGTGTACTTCCAAATTATGCACTACATCTATCCCAAATATCGAGAGTCTTAGACATGTTCGAAATACTTTCTAACAAACATCCATACGTCTAAACTTTCGCATAATATATACCTACTATTAAATTGCGTTTTTTTTAAACTTTAAAACTATTTTGTTTTGGTGTCAAATTTACTTATCAAATTTTCCTACTTCAAACTAATTGGGTTAAAAGTGATCCTAAACCTACTGGACCCCCATCACACTAACTACACCGGAATGATTAATTTCCTTATAATTCGGTATCAGTGCGTAACTACTGCCAACAGAGGGCGCTGTAACGGACCGGACGCCTTCATTAAGGCAAACTGATGCAACTTTATAAACTTGTTATTATGAAGTAGCTGTCGCCCGTGACTCTTTCCTTGCGGAATTAAAAAAAAACGTAATAAGTAGTCTATGTATTCTTCTAGATAGTGTTCTACATCTATGGAAGTTTTAGCAAGATCCGTTGATCAGTTCCGGTGATATAATACTTTCAAACAAATATCCGTCCATACATCCATCTAAATATTCACATCTATATAAAAGAATGTCGTGTTTGTTACACTATTTAAAACTCAAGAATGGCTTTACCGATATGGCTGAAAATTGGTGAGGAGGTAGGTTAGAGCCAGGAGACGGACATAGGATACTAATTTTTTTTGAAGAGCTGCTTTGTATTTAACTTATTATACTAATATTATAAATGCGAATGCTTAGATGGACGTGATGTGGATGGATGGATGGTGGGCTACACTAATTAAGTTTTTTTACATATGCGGACGGAGTCGCGGGCGACAGCTACTTTATAATATTAGTAAGAAGTCAGACGGGTTATAGTTTTAAATCTGAACGATAGAAAAATATGCATTTTACTACTTTTTATGTTCATGATAAAGCTACAAACTTTGTTTTTAATTAATAATAATACGGATTTACTTTTTAAATCTAAAAATACAGTACAGTACGAAATATTGAAACAATAACAAAATAATTTTCGTTTGCGTTATGAATTCAGGAAAGGAAATTATTAAATAAATTATTCTGATTTGTAAATTTTATAAGACGAAAATAGATGAAATATTTTCCAAATGAAGATTATTCTTTTCCTTGTGAAGCGAGACGTAATTTGTAAATTTCCTTTGGTACAGTAAAATATGTTTCGGTCAATTCACAATCGTCGATCGGCTCGATTAAATTACGGTGTACGTGCTACGAGAAAGCTTTGTGCGTCTTGTTCGGGACTGTACAATCGACAGGAACACGGAAATTTACACTTAGAATTTATCACTTTTGATCAAGACTGTACTCTTAGTTACTGTTGTGTAATTGAAAACAAAGCTTGCTTAGTGCAGACTGTTTTAATGACGTCACAACCGTTCCATTTCATGTATGGTACATGCGCATACATAACAGTTACATAGGTACAGATTAAGACAAAAGTGTTAATTAAGCAATCGGGTCAAATAAGAAAGAAAACAACCGTTAGAAAACTGCATTTGTTTTTTCCCCAACTGCCTCCTACTTTTCAGGAACCAAGGAAATGGAAGATAAAATAATTGGTTGTTACTTGAAGTTAAATTGTAAACTGACAAGCATATTGTCTCTGCTCTTAACTATAACAATATCTTGTCCCCTGTCTCCAGCTGAGTACATATTTAACGAAATCCCTGACGGTTGCTATATTCTCGCATTGTTTGCGAAATGCGATAGATGTTTCTTAAATCAGTTTCCGGTCTCGGCCTGGTGGCTGCGGCTTGTTGTCTGTTAATTGATTTATGTAACCCATTCCTATAGGGGTTGAATTTAATAGATTTGTTACTGCATTATTTAACTGTTTATTATACTAATGAAATTGTCATACATCAACTTTGGTTTTTGATTCTTTTCAAAATTATATGTCCGTGTTAAATGTAGATTGCTTTTAATTTATTCTAACATTGCACGGTTTGGGAGATATTTTTATTAAAATTTATTTAGAAATGTGGATTTCCATTTACAGTAATTTATACTGTAAAAGTAT